GTATTAAGTATATATTAACTAGGCTCCACAAATTGGAGGAGAGAGTTATCAATGATAATGTTCTAACTTCGAATCCGCGGTTATCTCCCTTTAACCTTCTTTTTTTTTTATTTTTAAATGTATTTTTTATCACATAAGATTTGGTGAGATGCGAGCGAATGTTCATTCTGAAAATGCATCCCAGAGAAGAAATGTTTGGGAAACAAGGATATAGATGAAGACACTATTGCCACAAATGCCTTACCATTATGTGGGAGATATTTCTGAAGTACCATATATATATATATATATATATATATATATATATATATATATATATATATAATGTGTGTGTGTGTGTGTGTACCAAAACACTCGCGATACCAAAGGTTTAAAATTAATTTTTAAAAATGAAAAATCTTTCTTGAAGCTATTATTTTAGTTTTAATTTCAAGCTAATAGATTAAATTTAATATTTCCAATAAACAAAATACTTTTTTCTGTATTTTAAAAGTAATTTAAATTGACCGGAAGGAGTTTTCGTTTAGTAATTACTAAGTTCTAAGGTTAGCGCCATTTTTAGTCGTCTTTCAGCGCAATGTAATTTTCCTTATTAAAAATCTTTCAAAAATAAAATATACTTTTCCGAAACTTTATTTGAGGAATGTAAACATTGTTACAACTCAGTGTTGACCTCAGTCTCCACTCTTATATTTATATATGCCCTGTATCTGATAGTGAGCACTTTTAAACATAAATATCTTCAGGACATGAGCGATCATGGCTCACTACAATTTCCTCTCCTTTGTGGTTATTAACTTGACTTTTTGTTATTTTTTACTTTTATCTCTCTTAAATCGTGCTCTTCCATCCATTGACTCACACTCTCTAGATAGGTTATGCATTGTTTTCTTTTGTCCCTCTTGCTTTCAAGCTGCCCTGTAAATATCAATTTTTCCAAGCCTTCTTTCCTCATGTGCCCTAGAAATTTTAACTAAGTCTTCCTGAGGTTAAGTATAAATGTCCTTTTGGTTTCCATTTTCTGTTGCCCACATGTTCAATCCAAGATATTCTTACAATCCTTCTGTAAGTAATAAATATAGTATACCCTTTTTATTCACATACACACACACACACATATATACAAGGTAACCAAAAAAGTTCTGTTCGTTTTTTGATTAGTCATTGAATGAAGTTGAAATATATACGAAATGCGTGTAGCAATTGTTTTCAAATTCGGACAGCCGGAAGTAGGAACATCAGACGTTATAAAAAAACACGCGCACCGTGCCCAGCCATCAGTTATAAGCCGGACAGCTGTGAGAAGGATGGAAGTGTCTAGAGATCTCGTTCAGAGCGGTTTGCTTTACGACTTCAAAGTGGGCTTATCATCAGCTGCATCAAGTCGCCGCATATGTCAAGCGTTTGGGGATAGTGCTGTGGATGAACGTACTGCAAGGCGTTGGTTTCGAAAATTCAAGTCGGGAGATTTGTCTCTCCATGATGAGCCTCGCAGTGGACGACCACATGTCTTGAATGACGGAGTCCTGAAGGCGGCCATTGAAGAGGACAGTAGTCTAACGTGTGATGACAGTTCAACGTTTCCGATGAAACAGTTAGACTTCACCTGCACCGCCTAGGTAAGACGTACAAACTGAGCAAGTGGGTTCCGCAAACGCTGTTGGAGGTCCACAAGGGACAACAAGTGGCAGCCTTCGTATCGCTGCTTTCTCGCCACCGTACCGCATCCTTATTCAATCGAGTGCTTACCAGTGATGAAAAGTAGGTTCTGTACGAAACTCCCAAGCGATGCAGACATTGGTTGTCTCCTCAGGATTCTGTCCCTCACACCGCAAGACCGCCTATTCACCCACGCAAGATTATGCTTTGTGTCTGGTGGACAGGTCGTCAAGTGGTTCATTATGAACTGCTATCAACGGGCCAAACGGTCACTGGAGACCTATAATCGCAGCAATTGAAACTTGTGCAACAGGTATTGCGCCAGAAGGAGCCAGCACTCGTGAATTGCAAAGGTGTGCTTTTCCTCCATGACAACGTCAGGCTGCATGTCACGCGAGTGGTCAGGGATACCATGCAGCAACTTGGGTGGGTGACTTTGTGCCATCCACCTTATTCACCTGACCTTGCGCCATCCGATTACCCCCTCTTCCACTCCGTGGATAATCATCTTCGTGGGAAATCCTTCGCCAATGAAGCAGACTTGCGCAAAGCCCTCACGGACTTCTTTGCGTCAACCCCACCCCCCGAGTTCTACCGCAAGGGCATCGAACACCTGGAGACACGTTGGCAGAAGGTGCTGGATGCCGATGGCGATTACTTCGAAGACTAAATATAAGTTACACATACTGTGAAGCGTTTTCTTTTTTTCCTTTAAAAACGGACAGAACTTTTTTGGTTACCTTGTGTGTGTGTAATATATATATATATATATATATATATATATATATAAATTATGAAATGGACTAAGTCCGACAACTATATTAATATATTTTCTGTTTCTACGTTATTTTTATAAATACAAATATTTAAGTAAATGCTCTGTTTATAATAATCAGTATTAACGACATTTACCGGCTTGAATATCCGAGAAACTTCATAAAAAATATGTGTCCTCCGACAGGAATCAAACCTGTATCCTACAAGGAATCGTCCTATAGCCTGACGTGCTATACTATTTAGCTACAGAGGAAGCGTCTAGTTAGCAAGTTTAAATTACTGCTTTTAAAATACAAATTTCCCATGATTTCTCACAAGTGCTCATAACTGCTCGAAGCGTATCTTAACGTAAACAAATGACAATATATTATAAAATGAACTAAGTCCGACAATTATTTTAATATATTTTCTTAGTCCATCATACATAAAATGAACTTTCTCGTATAACTATAATTTTTACAAGACGAGAGATTCCATCATATATAAACTATTGAGTTACTTTTCAATCACCCTGTATTTCAATGAAACTCTATATACGCAGGCACATATATAAGGTACAAATATCACTCGATGTTGCCACCACTTTTTCCAGGCGGGACTGAAAGCTGAAGCAAGCCTTGGCGATGGCGCCTCTGATGGCTGTCTTGAGAGCCTCCTTGGTGTTGTAGGACAAGCTGTTCACCTCCCTCCCCAAGACGACCCACACAAAATAGTCAAGAAGATTGCAGTCTGGCGATAAGGGAGGCCATAAGTTGGTGAGCAAATGGCACTTCTTGAGCACATACGATTTATAATTCAAGCTTTCTTTGACTATACACCCGATTGCTTGTATCCATTTCCTTTGTGATTTTTCATTGACAACTTCAGCAACAAACTCTGGCGTCCTGGTGGCACCAGAATGATTCTTATGAGTCTTGCGTTCTGGCCTGAAATTGCACTTGTCGTATGCCTTTGTAAAGTTGTAAAATATGGTTTTAGGGTATTTAAAACATTCAATGATTTATGACCGGCGTGAAGGTTCTCTGCAACAATAGCTCAGCGATCGTACTCTGAAGAAGACACGTTAATTACTAAGCACCTCTTGCATCACTGCCCAGTGGGCCCAGATGGACTAATTTTGGAAATAGAGGTATGGTGCATAAACTGGCTCAGTCTGCTTCTGATAAGTGATTAAGGTCTTTTTGGAAGTGTTCATAAAAGGTGAAATTTTTCAAAAATTGTGGGTTTGGGATGGGATTTTATTATTTGGTCATTGACGTTCCAAAGTACAAAAATTGAATGATTGACTTGGAGGAAGGTTTTGAAAATTCCAAAAGTCTGGGAACCTCTCGGTATAATTTTCCTCAGTTGCGACTCTGTCCTTTGACAGAGCCGCCCCTGAGCGCACTCTGCCCAAAGACAGACGCGCAACTGAGAGATTGTAAAGAAACGTGTTACAAACTACTTTAGAGGTCAGGTTGTGACACAAAGTTTATTTAATGTGGGGTGTCCTAGCACGTACACCAGGCTAGGAACAAAAGTTGCCCACATCCCCCACAACCGTCGGTTGCGCTGGCCTTGGTGCGAGCACCAATCTCTCTGCCTGGGACAATGAGAGGGCGCGCCCTAGGCCAGCTGTTCCCCAGGACTGAGCATCCCTCAGTATAATTTTTCTGTTGCGTCTCGATGTTTACTCGTTCCCTCACGAGGACGAGATGTGACACAAGGTCTTTTTAAAGTAGGGACCAGAGCGCGTACACCCGAGAAAAGGACAAAAATTGCCCCCAGCCCCCGCAACCGTCAGGTTGCTCTGGCCTCGATGCGAGAACCGATCCTTTCCTCTGGAGCAATGGAAGGGCGCGGCCTCGGTCAGCTGTTTCCCCAGGGCTGAGGACTTCTTCAGTATAAATTTTCTCAGTTACCCCTCTGACCTTTGAGTAAAGTTGCGATTCTCTCCTTCAATATCTATACTATATATTATCTACTTCTAGGCAATATCACTCTTCAGGTTTAACTAATTTGCATACTGATTTTAAAAAGTTTATTTCATTAATTAACTGTCCTTCATTAGTGTTCTGTTATTCAAGGATTGAATTGATTTTCATAACAAAAATAGTTCTGTTTAGGAATATCTTCTTATATAGTGCAAAAAAGTGTTTGAAATTTGTATTTTACTTGGCCTTCAACAAGTTGGCATCTATTTGTAAAAGTTTCCTTAACTATAACAAGCCAATTTATGAATGAAATGTCCATTTTGAAATTTTTGTTTCAAAGATTTCAAGTAGTGAATATATCTTACTTTGCATAGCGATAGCAAACAGGCAAAGCCTGCTAGTACCTTTTATATACTGTCAATAGATGTGTATTTATAATAAGCATTGTAGTAAAGGTTTACTACAAAAAAAAGAAATCTTAATAAAGAAGAGCAAGATTGCCATCTGCTTTTGTCATGTTTATTAATTCATTAACAAACAACAACAACAACAATCTTTTGTCATAATCAACATAATCAATCAACATAAGAAAACATCAGGAAAGTGTAGGCATCACTTGAGATTGTCAGTTTCCTACTGTTTGGTTGTCTCTCAGAATTTCATGGCAGTCTTTGCCTTCTCTGTCTCACTGGCATGCAAGCCACGACAAATATACTGCAGTTCCTCAACTAGGGTCTCATAGCGGTAGGCAACTCGGATGTCTGGCACATTAGTACGGCTCACGTCATTTCCTGCAACACCTTCACGAGTGTAGTTCGGCCCCAACCAATGTTGCTTCACCTGGTGAGAGGAGAAAAGAAGAAAAAAATTTATTGTGAATTCACCTTTTTATTTATTTATTTATTTGAAGTTTTCATATAAAGGAAGTACCAAAATGTTCTGGATAACTGACCAATGATGCGGGGACAGAAATTACTTCTTCTAACCCCTAATTAAAGCAATAACCTTAGTAGTTTCCTTAAAGTGACTTTACATAAAGAATAACAAAGAAAAAAAACAATACTATATACAATTCGTTTGTAAATTCCATTTAAAATCCCTGTTTATGGCTTAAAGTGTCCAATATCAGGAATAGGGCATATGTGGATATGAACATGGACATTGAATCAATACCCAAAGGCAGAAGTATGTTTCATGCTAAGTAAAATCCTCAGGCCTTATGGCCTGAGGATTGATATTTAAGCATCAAGAACACTGAAGTCAACACCCAATTATGACAATGTCCACTTTCACTCACACAAATGGAAATTAATAAGAAAAGCTAGAATATGTAGGTCATTAAATGACCCATGTCCTTTGTGCATACATGAGAAACTATATATTACTAAGTTCATAAAAAAATAAAAATTTACTGAATCAAAGAAATGAAATAGCTATTCTTTGCCCTCATTGTCAAAAGTTTTCCTTAAATAATATTTAAAAATAAAATAAAAAATGGGAGCTGGTAATATACATACATATATTTGATATGAAAAAATAATTTTTAAATAATTTAAGTAATTCTATTACATTTACTTGATTTAAAAATAAATATAGTCTATTAGTAATTAAGAGTAAAAAATATTTTAAAATTGTAATTAAATATAACGTATTCTAACCCAAACACCCCTTTTAGAAAGAATCTTTCAGTATACAAGTATGAAAAAAATGCCGAAAAACTTTTTGTCATTAATAATAAAAAAAAAAACCCAGATGACATGCGTTTAATGGACGTCAGAATTCGTTGAAAAGTACACCCTTACCGTCCCTAAACTTAACCTCTTTTTTGAATGTAACTCATAATTGATACAACAATAGTTAATAAAAATGAATGTGCTACCGCCCCTGTCTAAATGATTAGATTTCTCTGTATCCTTGGAAACAGGAAATTATGAATTTATATGTGCATTTAAAACTCAGTAAATTTAAAAATAAGTTATTCCAAAATTCGCTGGATGATGAAACAGAACTAATGCTTTTAATTTACTTATATAATTAAATTTGAAGTTTTTAGCTTTAGTTTTTGAAACATGGTTATTATTGTGTAGCGAAGAAACCCTATTTTAAATCAGTTAATTTATAATATTTATGCTCTGTAAATTTACATTGAGCACTGTTTTGTAAAAATAAAAAATATCAATAAGAACACCAGATTATATATCTTACTGTTCTTTCTTTTTATATATATAATTTTTTTTTTTTTTTTTTTTTTTTGTCATCCCAAGCAAGGTAGTACGGCCACTAACATGCAAGGGGTTACATAGTGTGGAGGAATTAGGAACAGAAACATTAGTAATGGATAGAAAGAGAAAAGAGCATTCAGGAAGACAGTAGATAGCAACTGACATTGGATTTAAATTCTTGCAGATTAAAGTTGGCTGGAAACCACAGAGCCAGAAAAAGAAACTGTTAGCATAGAACTTATGGCTACATCCAGTTCTGTTAGCTCAACTGATTTTGCTACCAGTCTAGTATTGCACTTAAATTCATAGTCTAGTTACCACAACAAATAGCTTATCTGAACAATTACCATGAACATATTTTTTAAAAAAGGTAGAGAGAGAAAACATTACGGCAGTGGGCAAGCGATTAAATCTGAGCCACCAAATCAGGACCAGTAATAATGCTGATTCTTCTATGGATCTTATGAAGTAGCTCAAAGTAAATTTCAGAGACACCAGATCATATATGGTAGCAATATTCTAAGCATGGACGAATGGTAGATTTATAGATAGATTCCTGAGAAAAAAAAATCTCACCTGACTTTCTTAGCAGCTGACCTAGGTTCAATATAGCCTTTTCATTTCATGTCAGCTGAGAACATTAGCCCGAGAAGGTGCAATATGTCACTTTCTTGGAGGATAGCATCAGCCATACTGATGAAAGACAAAGAGAGTGATCTCTCAGATAAACCATCTTTTGTCCCAGTTAGTGACAGTCTTGAGGTTGTTTTGTACATCAGCCTTAGTATCAAGAAAGAAGTAAATGGTAATATCATCAGCTTAGATGCCAAGTTGAGAGTTGATATCATCATGAAGGTTGTTAATGAAGTTTAAAAACAGTGTAAGACCAAGGATGGAGCCCTGGGAGACACCTACATCAGTATGAAAGGATGTAGAGGAGTGGCCATTCAGGACAACTTTCATTTCACAATTTGATAGGAATGACCGGATCTCCTCAAAAATGCCCCGAAATACTGTCTAAAACTAATAGGCTGAAAGTTATATGGATTGGATAGTTCACCAGAGTTCTTAAATACGGGAACAGCAGGCAGAAAAGCAGGAGGTGCTGAGGCTTTTATTATACAGTTTAGAGAGAAGAGGAGCCAGTTCGGGACCTTGGAAGAGGTCATATGCATATCACTCAACAGAGAATCAGTTCTAAGTGAGAAGATGAGCAGGGATACTCCAGATGAGTCAATAGTAGAGTTTGAGGAGAATTTATGGACAAACCATTCAGCATTATCAGCAGATGATGATAACACCTCAAATCGATTGAAGAGTGGGGGAACAGAGACCTTGCACTATTTAGTATCCTATTAAAGAGATGCCAGTAATCAAAAAAGCCAAAGTTTTTGAGACTATGCAGTGCCTCATTCTCTCAACAAATAGGGACTTAGCTTTTTTGAGGACTCTCTTACATTTGTTATGAGCAGTAGCAAATAGGCACCTGTTATGATGAGAGCTGTCATGCTGGTATAGCCAGAAATAATGATTCCTGTGTGCTATGGTGGCTGAGCATTCTGGTGTGAACTATGGAGAGGATTGTGGTTTCACCTGGTATTTCCAAGAAGGGATGAAAGGGCATCATGAAGAAAATCCTGGAATGAGGTCTTATGGACAGTGGGGGGGGGCATCCTGTTTAATGGATGCTTGGAGATATCAAGAGGGAAGTATTGTGCAGCTTGACAAGAGGTAAGAAATGGATCCAGTAGAGACGCCTGTTGCTCAGTTTGGCTAGGGAAATGAGTAAGGAAGTCCATGATTTAGGTGGGGGATTGAACAATGGAAAAATTTAATGTCTGTATACTGGCAACATCAGTACCTTTTTAGAATGTTTCAGCCATGTGTCATGGTGAGCATTAAAGTCACTGAAGACAAAAAAGTTCACAGACAGATGGAGAGAAACTACTTACTCTATACTGTCAGCTATTGTGTCTAATATACCGCAGTCTTGGGAAGAGGTGGGGAGCAATAAATGAAAAAAAAGAGAAAGCTGATAGATTTTGGTAGCGAAAGACAGAAACACATGAAAGAGTAGTCAGCAACCTTGAGAGACTGTCCATCGGAAGATTATCCCGGATGTAAACACCAAGGCCATGGAAATAATGAAATTCAGCAAAGGGGCAGATACCCTGAAATCAAGAATTCATTGGTAGCAATGAAAGAATTCAAGTTGGTTTCACAAACAGCAAAGTTATCTGTCAACCATTTCAGGAGAAAAGATTCTATGCTGCAGAAGTTGGAACAGATGCCACGAATATTGGAGAAAGAAAGATTGAGGGGTGGGGTAGGTGGTTTTTTTGTTAGCTGGTTTAGTTTTATTTCTTTTTGTTGTGATTTTGAAGAGAGAGGAAAAAGACCAGCATAATTGTCACTATCTGGTGGCTGAAAGCAGAGCATAATGTGGCCTCAGGATTGCCCACCAAAAATACATGCAGGGACATCTACTCATGTGTGACATGGCACTACAGATACCCCAATATTATGCACCTGTTGATCAAAGCAGCTTCTCTAAGTGCTACCAAAGAGTTCAGGCTCCTAAAGACCAGCAGCCAGCAAACGACTAACAATGGAAAGTCCAATCAACAAAAAGTAAACAATTAAATCATTGTGGTACTGGTAGACAAAAGACAGAACTAGTAAACTATATCCTGATCAGGAAACAAGAGATGAACCTCTAATCCTGTTCAATAAACATGGAAGGAGAGTGGACCAAACAATAAGTGAGCCTGTCTGCTCCTTTTAAGCAGTGGAGAGAAAAGGAATGAGAAATACAAAAGAATTCATATCAAGTTATGACTTGGTAGTAAACACCAGAATATATACTAACTAAAAAAAAAAAAAATGGGCTATTAAGAGCTGTCATGCCAGTATAGCTGGAAATAATGATTCCTGTGTGCTATGGTAGCTGAACTATAGAGAGGATTGTGGTTTCACTGGGTATTTCCAAGAGGGGATGAAAGTGTCCATGCCAGCTTAATACACTCTTGTCTTGACAATTTTTCAGCATTGATCAACAACACTCTCAAATTAAACAAGTTGAGGGGAGGGTCTGAAGTAGGAAATTTGATAATTACTAGCAATTACTAGAACAGTCTAGAGCAACAAAAAATTAACAAATAAAATAAAAGTATGACACGGGCATTTAAACATCTACAACAAGAACATGGCACAAGGCAGGGTAATATATGAGCTCTACAAATGCTTCCTTCTAATCCTTAACTTTTTTTATGGACACTACAGAGATGAGATGGTGAGCAATGTGTGGGTAGTGGTGTGAAAGGACCAGAATCATTCACTAGCTATTGGTAGTACCAGGATGAATGGGAGGGGGTGGCATTCACCTCTTGTTTTCTTTGCTATTATTCATATCTGTCCTCAATTTTCACACACACACATATATATATATATATATATATATATATATAGTGCTATTCAATAAAAGTGACTCTCCTTATCCTTTGAATTTAGCTCAACTTTTGTTTCATCAGAGAAGAGAACATTCTTCCAGTCTTCTACGGTGAAATGTTTGTAATAGTGAGCCCATTCAAGTCTCTTGGCTTTGTTCGCTTTGCTTAT